GATTCTTGAGCAAACCCTAAACCCTAACCCCTAATCCGTCTTTGGATGATTAGCTCCAAACCCTAGCCCAGACGCCTAGGCTCCCCTCAACTAGATAGAGTATGGCTTTGGGTATATCATAATAAGATACCCATATTGTATCCACCTAAGGGGGACTGTAACCCCAATTTTTACCCGATTATAATATAGGAGTTTCCAGCTTCTCTTCCATTATCCGTACCTAACCCCCTTCCATATAAAACCCAATGTTCTATCTACTTAAGGGGGACTATAGACTCAATCTAAATCAAAAAAAGTGCAGGAATCCTAAAACCTTGATGGTTTCGAGTTGAGGGTTGGGGTTTGAGGTCTAGGGTTTAGGGTTTGGGGTTTAGTGCGTGAATGTTTTGAGGGGGTAAAAGGCTCGTGACATCGATGCGACTGCCACAACGGATTCTGTTTGACGTTGCACATCCTCACTCTACAGCCCATGGCTTCTAGCAACAACTTACACAATGAAGTCTATAGTCGCAGATTCCATGTTACTTTCCATTTTCCTTTCTGTATAGTTAACCCCCTATAATATCACCCCCCTTTTAAGGAATTTAGATTATGGCTCATCTGGTCTTCATGAAGAGATCCAAGCGTGGCGACACCTCATGATTTGCTGTCTCCTTGGGCAGATCACGCAAGATCTCTGCGAAGTATCGATCCTGTCAAATGTAGGGGATTTAGGGTTTAGGGTTTAGGGTTGATTGCTTAGGTCATAGTCGACTATAAGGTATACTGGCGATTATATCAGGGTCCTCATATATTCCCATGATACAACTATTACAGGGTGAGGGGTCCTCCTAAGGGATTGCAACCAGGCTTTCCACCAAAACGAAGGTTACCAGCTTCCGTTGTACAAGCATCCACCTTATAAGGGCAGCCTTCCTTTCAGGTGTGCTCCTTCTTCTGGTGTTTGTAAGAGAACTCTGAATCAGAACTGCTTGGCATGACCCTGAACTCTACACCCTGAAATCCTAAACCCTGTGCTTCTGTCTACCTGGCCATAGGTTAGTCTTGGATTTACGCTACGGGTCCAAGGACTCAAGCAATGGGGTTTTAATATAGGCTCCAAACGTGTTTTGAATGGTACTTGGGGCCCAAAACCCTAATATTTGGGTCCTTGGTCCCCACCCCGTCAGCCGGAAGATCTTTGGAGCTGATGCCGTAATTTTTCGCTATATCGGGGGTCCCGATAATATCCCAAAATACGATAATTTCAATCCGCACTATCGGGACCTGCAAAAAAGGTCCCCTTCTTTTGGGAAACCCACATGCTATACTCGAGACTTTTCTGATTCCAGGGAGTCGAGAGTGCGCTGACAAGTGGGTGGGAAGTGGGGCAGAGAACTGGTCTAGCCGGCCTGAATATTCAAGAAGAAATGGAGGAAGCATTCTGGCATCATGAACTGTGCCAAACCGATTTGACCAGTTAGCCTGAGAGCAGCACGCTATGCCCTTTGTAGCCGGAATTAGGGTCGATTATTAGCGTAGCCGGAACCACACGTGAGCAACAGGCAAAATTTGGAGTACGCTCGTGCTTTCGCCTTGCAACTCTTACACGCCTTGTATCTGACCCAAGGAAAACAGGTCGACCGTCAGTTTGGCCCTGCCCCTGTACGACACTGACTTGCAACTTGAAAGGGGACCAATATATTTGGGAACTACCCATATGCCCCCGACATGACAAGACAACCCGGATTCAAGTCGTGTGCTACGTAAGAGACAACATAACACCGCTTTCTATAATGAACTTGCAACTGTGCTTGGTCGATGTCCACAGCAAGTTCCAGAATCCCACGGCACCTCGAACATACGAGGCTCCAATGCCTTCATGCGCGCGAACATCTCCTGGAAAGGATTAGGTTGCTGTTAAGGAACTTCAATTACCAGGACCTTCCTTGTACCCTTAATTGGGGATATATGGTCCCTAATAGTGGGTATTAAAGCCCTAATAGAGGGTAGGAGGAGGGTCTAGGTAAGTTACCATAATATGGGGGTATACAGTAAATCACTGGGTTTTCTGATTCTAGGTACTATAATATGGGGTATAAATAGACCAATTAAGTTACTAGAATATGGGATAATATGGGGTATACAGTAAATCGCTAGGTTTTCTGATTCTAGGTAACTAGGTTAAAATTAAACCCTAAACCCTAAACCCTAAACCGCACGGTTAAAATTCCTTAGCAGCAAAGCCCTAGGGGATGCTGAGGTTTCCAGGAGATGCTTGACCCCGTCTCAAGAAACTCAGACCCTGACTCTGGGGGTTATTGTTAAGGAACTTAAATTAAGTTACTATATTATCCCCCTATAGGGTTTAGGGTTTAGGGTTTAGGGTATATTATCCCCCTATAATGGAGAATCAAATGGAAAAGAAAATGGAAAATGAAATGGAAACTGGTGGGAATATAGGGATTTAAGGAACTTAAATTAAGTTACTATATTGGAGAAACCCTATTATTTACCATATATATACCCAGTATGGTAACTTAATTTAAGTTCCTTAACAGCAACCCAGGATTTCGAGATTCCCTGAAAAGTCCCATAGACGCCGTCACACCAGTACTACAGGGGCCTAAATAATTACCAATATCATGTTGAGATTCATTTGAGGTACCATATACTATATCCAATATAGCGAGGAATATGGAACCATAATATTGGTAATTATCTAGGCCCCTACAATATCTGAGCATGTTCCCCTTTGGGGAGGAGAGGAACAATGGACATCATCGCACAATTGCGAGACAGAAAGACACTGACAAAGGGGCATCTTGCACTACAAACCGGATCGGTTTCGGATTGGGTTTGGGGCATAGGGGTTTTGATTCAGGGTTTAGGATTTAGGGCCTAAGGTTTAGGGATTCCTGGAAGGAATCCATGGCTCATCTCCGTTCAACAAACATTGGCAGGAGATCGAGCAGTCAAGATTCTCAGGTGGATCCCTCTGCAATGGTTTTCACAAAGGGGACCAAGGATTTCTGCAATAGGCAGACAGCCTGTTCTGAGACATAGCCTGTGGTCATTTTGAGGAAATGGGGTAAGAGGCTATATTGGCGGCGACTTTTTTGGGCCATTCTTCATCTATCTGAAGTTCTGTCGAGGTTAAGTAATGCGGACCTTCCTTGAGTTAAACTGCCTACGCAAGTCGTCAGCATGCCCACCCGTGCTCGTGTATGATATGCCATCAGATTTAGGACTGGTCTTTCTCGATCCTTTGCGGCAAGCCTTGTTCCGCAGCCTTGACAGAAGGTTTTGTTTGCTCTCGTGCTTATCAGTGTGCAACGGCAACGATGACTGCAGATACTTTCTTTACATACCAGGACCCTCCTTGTACCATGTGAATGGAGGTATAGGGTCCCTGTGTGGGGGGACTCAATTGGCCCAATCTAGACCCCAAAGGGACCCCCCAATAGGTAATTACCCCTGATTTTGGGAAACCCCATATAGAGGGTAGATGGAGGGTCTACATAATCACGCCGGCGTGTCAGACCCATCACCCAACATCATTGAAGAAGAAGTGTCAGACGAAGGGCTCCTACAGACATCCCTTCATGGTAGGGCTTGGGATCTAGGGTTTAGAAGCAGCCCTTCATGGTCCTTCAGCGGCTGCCCAGGCATATGAGGCACCTTCCGCTGTGCGTCTGAAGGATTAGGGCTTTCGGCCGTCTAAATTGCCTAGCTTCCGAAAATAATGTCCAGTGTTTGGGCCTTCTCGCAACAAATAAGGCTCCTGCCAGGATGCTTGCATGTTGGGCGTGCATTTAAGTCTGAAAGAATTGTTGCAGAATTTTTCCTGCACCGAACAATGCGATGATCGGGGCTCACTCTTGAAGATTCGGCTTGGATCCTAACTGTCGACAAAGTGCGTTGAGAAACTTCCATGGAATGCAGCAGACCTAAGCACAAGATTTCAGTTTGGTTGACTAGTCTCGCTTTCTTTATCAGCGGCGTGCAGGTACTGCTACTGCAAAACGCTCGTGGTATTGAAACCAAACAGAACCCAGAGGGTCCAAGTACCCAATAATTGGGTACCTGGGTTTTTGTTAATAGAAATTCTTGTACAACTTTTGGGTAAGAATATGATTATTGGGTACTTGGACCCTTAGGGGAACCTTGAAATATTCCGGCTTGACCGAGTAAGCTATCACGGATGCGTTGAAGCGGAAGGAAGCCAGGCCAGACAGATTGTCAGCCCCCATGCTTTACCCAAACAGGGTTTAGGGTTTAGGGTTTAGGATTCAATTAGGAACTGTATTCTCCCTTTGCTTCCAGCAAAAACTCCCTAAGCTACTTCCATAAATTCGGCACAAATCTTAAGCATGTTTTTCGAAGCGATGCTGGCAGTAGTGCCATGTAGTGCCGACGGGGACGCTGCTCATGGTCGGAACCTCAGTAATGCACATCTGTTTAGGTTTAGGGTTGAGAGTTTGGGGTTTAGGGATTAAAGGTACGGGGATTAGGGTTTAAGGGTTTGGGGTTCAAGGCTTGGGGTTTAGGGTATTTGCTCTGGTGTTGAACGGCAAAACCTTGAGCTACAACAGATTGCTCAAAGTGCGCAGTGTTCCTTAATCATAACAAAGATCAGAAGGAAAAACGCATTAATAGCATCATCAAGCTAGCACATTTCCGATCTTCAATCCTCATTATTGGGACCCCCAATTGGGGACACCTCATTTCGGGAAACTCCAATCTCTGGATATCCCCGCTAATTTTGGGAAACCACCATTTAACCATATAGCCCTTTAAAGGTAACCACCCGCCTCCCCAGCCCCCCCCCCCGCCACAAAAAAAGTGTATCCCTAATTGTGGGAAAACCATGAACCCCTAAACCCTAAACCTCAAACCCTAAGCCCTCATTTTGTGGACAAAAAACCCTAAATCTTTCATTTCCTAAACCAAAAACCCTGAACCTCAAATCCTAAACCCTGAGCCCCCCTGTTCAAAACCTCACCAAGGGACCCTCAATCTCAGAAGAGGCCGAAAAGCTTCGAGTCGGCCTTGCGAGACCTGGGAGGCTGACATGTGCAGTACCCATTGGGGTAATATTGGGGTGTTTTAGGGATACTGGAAAATGAAATGGAAACTACTATAGGGTTTAGGGTTTAGGGTTTGGGGTTCCGGGGTATATTGGGATAATGGAAGTAAAATGGAAACTACTATCTAATTAGTTGCAGATTTCGCGGAGGAGTAGGATATTTCAAGCTTCATGCCCTTTGGGGGTTGAAGCCTTTTTTGGGTGGTTTAGGGCTTAGGGTTCCGGAGGGGGTGTACTGTCTAGTGTTTAAGGATTCAAGGCTCTTAGGGCTTAAGCGGGTCGACCTAAATGCAATCAAGTCTGGCTCTGACCTAAAGCTGGGTGAGACAATCCCTACATGAGCTACTGTCAGTAATTCCCAGATAATTAATGGACATGTAGTCCTTATTACCGACTGTTCTAGGGACGCTACTAAATGACAAGAAGGACCCCATGTCCACCCTTAATGATCCCTTATCGGATCTTATGAGGTTGCTCGGTCTGCTTTGGGTTGGGTGATTATCATTTGCTTGTTTGTTTAACCCTTTCCAAAGAATTATTGTTAAAGGAACTTCAGCAAAGGAAGCCTGGGCATTGTTTACACACAATCTTTCCCTTGGGCTTCAGGGTCGAAGGCTGGAGTTCAAAAATGGAACCTACATACAGGAGTGTTCATGGGTCCTACTACCGCCCTCTATACTCCTTCCCTCTAGGTTCACCCCTTAATTATTTGTTTTTGAACTAATTTTGCCTAGTATAGAGGGGATAAGTAGAGGACCCCATGAAGTGTACTTGGTTACTGTCTAAACTGCTAGCATCCCCCTTAATAACCCCTATGATACCCCTATATAATCCCCTATATAACCCCCTGTAAAAGGATTTCCCACTGGGCTCTGAGCCCAACAAATCCATCCCCCCTGTGAGCCATTGTCTAAACTCCTCGTAGTCCTCTTTCAGCCCCTATAATATAATGCTCCCCTATATAATCCCCGA